CGTTAACATCTTTTGTACAATGAATCATTTCGTTTTTATCTATTTATTTTTTCATCAATTTCCTCAATATTTTCAGCCTTCAACTGTTTCCTTCCTTATCGTCTCTCTGTAACAAAGTAATAACCCAATAAACAGTGGCAACTCTAAATAAAGAAACAAATATAAAACCAAACTTACAGCTTATTCACAACTTTTATACGATGCGTTGGGAAAGCCATCAACACCATTTATTGTGTTTCACTTATCGTTTCTAGGCTTTCGTCAGTAGAGTTGTTTTAGTCAATATTTAGAATATGTCATATCGGTGAAAATTTTGTTTTTCTTTTTAAGCAAGGGAATTTTAGATAATATGTAAGTTCTTTTGTATAACAAGAAGAAAATTGTATTGATAGGTGTTGAAAGATTTTGAAATGTTTTATAGATATTTTGCAATAAAATGATTTTTTTAGTGAAAATTATAAGGAAATATTACGTTTCATATCGTAAGGGGGGTTTCTCACCACATTTCTTTGCTCTTCTTGACTCTTTTCTCTAAGACAAAGATTCCGGAGAAAATTTCAAGCTACTTTTGTTTTAATTGTAAAGATTCAACTGTGCGGTCCTTTTATATAAACGGTTTCAGTTAGATGGGGTATATAAATCCCCCATCGCATCAGAAAGACGTTTGCGTATAATGTAAAGATTACCGTTAGGGAAATTGGAATCCTTGTGCCGAGTTCAAATTCTGGTTAATTGTTTCTTTTTTCTTTTTTAATTCATTTCACCACAAACAAGGCGATAATGCCACTAAGACGCAAGGGGTTACAGGGAGTGAAAGAGAATGAGTAGACTTTAGTAAGGAGAAAGAACAATAAAGGAAAAGGGTCAGGAAGACAGAAGATGGGGATAATGCCACTAAGACGCAAATGGTTACTGAGAGTGAAAGAGAATGAGAAGACTTTAGTGAAGAGAAAGGACAATAAAAGAACAGGTTTCAGGAAGACAGAAGATGTCGATTGACGCTACATTTGAATCTTTGAAAATTGTGGTTGGTAGACAAGCAAGAAACTGGAAGAGAGTTCCACATGTAGGAAGTGTGAGAAAAGGAATTATTAGAATAGAATTTACTGTTACATCTAGCTATTTCAACAGTAAAGCAATGAGACCTAATTGCTAATCTAATTGGCTTAAATATACTCGGGGAGGTAAAAATGCAGAGATTATCAGTTGCCATGGAAATATTTATAGAAAAACCGGAGAAAAGCCACATCACGCGGGTGGTAAAGTGACGAGATGCCGGATCAGGACAGATAACATTGCATGAAAATATGTTGTGCACCGTGCAGATAATCCAGCAGTTTACTTCTAAAACTGAACTGCTGTGCTCTGATTCGTTCAAATCGAAATATTTATGGAGAAATGCTTATTATCAATGACAAAGTGCTTGTAGATCTAGCGTCGATATAGAAGTCAACAATCAGTGACTGTCAGTTTCAAGATTCAAACGAACATCAGACTATCTATCTATCTATCTATCTATCTATCTATCTATCTATATGACAATATATATGCTCCTGAAAAATTTATTTCGGTTGAGCTCTCTGGGGAGGAAGTGTGGGTTTGTAAACAGTAACTATTACAGCTAATAATGCAAGACTCTTCGCTAAATCGAATCTAATTCTCTCAGTCACTGTGTATTTGTCTAAAATAAATACGCTTAAATTCACCTCCATCCCTGCCGGGCGCCAACGGCTTAGGAGTAGAATACCGACTGATGTCAATTCAGTCGGGTTTCGATCCTAGCCAGAGGCAGACGGACGTCTAGCCACACTGATGAGCTGTGATACAGTATATATATATATATATATATATATATATATATGGTCACCCACAGATGACATATATATATATATATAGTAAATATGACATATAAAATATATATATATATATATATATATAGTGATTATGACATATATATATATATATATATATATATATATATATATATATATATATATATATATATGTATGTATAGTAAAGGTAATAAATATGTAATATATATGTATAGTAAATAATAATAAATATGTAATATATATGTATATTAAAGGTAATAAATCCCAAAAGGTATAAATCCAAGTAGATCCTAGTATACCCCTATATACTACACCACTTATGAGGTAATTTTGGATTTTATGGCTTACTATTATATATATATATATATATATATATATATATATATATATATATTGTAATTAATAATGTTTATTTAAAAAAAACAACATTTACTTAAATGAATTGTATCTAATAAAATAACTTATAAACAGAAAATATATGATGTAATTGTCGGACAATCCATTTCATAATATATATATATATATATATATATATATATATATATGTGTGTGTGTGCGCGTGTGTGTGTGTGTGTGTGTGTGTGTGTGTGTATGTATGTGTGTGTTTCAACACTGGCCTGATACATTTGGACCACTGTGGTAAATTAATTACTTTTGTTAATATTACTCCTAAATCGAAAGTGATAGCACTAGGGAGAGAAAACAAGTTAATGCATTTTAGTCAAGGCTATATGGTAGATTTCTGAATATTGTAAGCATAATGATACTGAAGAAAGGGCATGCAAAAATAGATTTCTGAATATTGTAAGCATAATGATACTGAAGAAAGGGCATGCAAAAATAGATTTCTGAATATTGTAAGCATAATGATACTAAAGAAAGGGCATGCAAAAAAAGATTTCTGAATATTGTAAGCATAATGATACTAAAGAAAGGGCATGCAAAAATAGATTTCTGAATATTGTAAGCATAATGATACTAAAGAAAGGGCATGCAAAAAATAGATTTCTGAATATTGTAAGCATAATGATACTGAAGAAAGGGCATGCAAAAATAGATTTCTGAATATTGTAAGCATAATGATACTGAAGAAAGGGCATGCAAAAATAGATTTCTGAATATTGTAAGCATAATGATACTAAAGAAAGGGTATGCAAAAATAGATTTCTGAATATTGTAAGCATAATGATACTGAAGAAAGGGCATGCAAAAATAGATTTCTGAATATTGTAAGCATAATGATACTGAAGAAAGGGCATGCAAAAATAGATTTCTGAATATTGTAAGCATAATGATACTAAAGAAAGGGCATGCAAAAATAGATTTCTGAATATTGTAAGCATAATGATACTGAAGAAAGGGCATGCAAAAATAGATTTCTGAATATTGTAAGCATAATGATGCTAAAGAAAGGGCATGCAAAAATAGATTTCTGGATATTGTAAGCATAATGATACTGAAGAAAGGGCATGCAAAAATAGATTTCTGAATATTGTAAGCATAATGATACTAAAGAAAGGGCATGCAAAAATAGATTTCTGAATATTGTAAGCATAATGATACTGAAGAAAGGTCATGCAAAAATAGATTTCTGAATATTGTAAGCATAATGATACTGAAGAAAGGGCATGCAAAAATAGATTTCTGAATATTGTAAGCATAATGATACTAAAGAAAGGGCATGCAAAAAATAGATTTCTGAATATTGTAAACATAATGATACTAAAGAAAGGGCATGCAAAATAGATTTCTGAATATTGTAAGCATAATGATACTAAAGGAAGGGCATGCAAAAATAGATTTCTGAATATTGTAAGCATAATGATACTCAAAAAAGGGCTTGCAAAAATAGATTTCTGAATATTGTAAGCATAATGATACTAAAGAAAGGGCATGCAAAAATAGATTTCTGAATATTGTAAGCATAATGATACTAAAGAAAGGGCATGCAAAAATAGATTTCTGAATATTGTAAGCATAATGATACTAAAGAATGGGCATGCAAAAATAGATTTCTGGATATTGTAAGCATAATGATACTGAAGAATGGGCATAATGTAAAAATAGATTTCTGAATATTGTAAGCATAATAATGATACTAAAGAAAGGGCATGCAAAAATAGATTTCTGAATATTGTAAGCATAATGATACTGAAGAAAGGGCATGCAAAATAGATTTCTGAATATTGTAAGCATAATGATACTGAAGAAAGGGCATGCAAAAATAGATTTCTGAATATTGTATGCATAATGATACTAAAGAAAGGGCATGCAAAAATAGATTTCTGAATATTGTAAGCATAATGATACTGAAGGAAGGGCATGCAAAAATAGATTTCTGAATATTGTAAGCATAATGATACTAAAGAAAGGGCATGCAAAAATAGATT